ATAGCAAATATAGGAATACTTAAAATAATAACCATAAAATATGTTGTTAAAAATATGGTGTATTAAGTTACATAATTTTGGTAATAAAAACACAACATTTATACATATMGTTTATGATAATTCATAAGTATTACATATTAAGATAATTTTAACTTTGAGTCTTTAAAAATTTCTGATAGTTATTAATTATTATACCATATACATATTACATAGTATATTTAATTTATTTTAGCAAACTAAAATTGTCACAGTTTTCTTAAAGAAATGAAAATTCTAATAAATTAATTAATAAGAATTATGATTTTTTATTCTTTGATATATTTTAATTTAAATGTATATTTTATGGTTTCTTAAATAATAAATCTAAACAACTAGATCTAAATTCTACATGGATATAATAAAAAATTGAAAGTGATAAATTAAACATCTAAACTAGTCTAGTAGTACCTACCCTCCATACGACCAGAACATGTTTTGATACGTTCAAATATTAGTAATAACTCTTTGACTAAAGCAGAAGCTTCAAGACCATTGCACAAATCAGGTTCAAACACAAGTTCCATTAGCCCTGTCCCGGCACGATTTAAATCTATAAGTGAACTAAAGAATGCATTAAGTTTCTTGAAAATAAATTAACATGATTTCCATATAAATTTATTGCAATAATATATACCATAATTATTACTAACATTAATTAGGTAAGACATTTACTATGACTTGATGTCTAAGTCTACAAATATACGCAACTTAAAATTTAAATACATAATAATGTACATAATTTGAATAATTTAAAAATGGAAGGCTATCTTTTTAAAATATGATTGGAAATTATAATAAGATAAATTACGTTTTAGAAGAATCATCATGAATTGTACGTCCGCTGTCTTGTTCTAGCTGTATTTGTTTGATTAAAGAAGTTTTACTGTAGGGAACTATATTAATATTTTGATCTATAACATGAAAAGTAAGTTGACCATTTTCTGCTAATGGATGAAACTGTTGAGTTATTTGGTAACCTGCCTGAAAATATTTAAGAATAAATAAAAAATATTGTTTTAAGGATGTCAACATTATATCAAAGTCCTAGTTCAAAATTGAAACAGCTAAGATATTGATTTTTCGGATATAAAGTGTTTTCTATCTTGATTCTCTATGTAACGTATCATAAATTATAATATTGAAAATGTTCTCTCTTAGACAATAATTTAACTAGAATATTTTATTGCCTTATAAAAATTACATTGTTATAAGACTGTAGATAWAATAGTGTACATAGCATGAATTTATTGTAACTCAAGTTATTTCAGTTATGAACTGGGACGTCGATATACTGTATAAAGGCAGTATATTTAGAGAAGCAAGGAAATATAAACTTTGCATGGTGGTTAAAATTCATGGACGTATATTTCAGATATATCACCTCAATAAGATGTTAAGTTTACCTAGTGTTAGTCAGCACTACAGTCCACAGACCACATATTTTAATTATCAATTAATTTCAACAAACTATTCCTCTAACAAAGATTACCATAAGTTTGGTTATATATAAATCCAATACTATGCAGGGGTAATTTTTTATTTATGGTTAAAGGATGATAACTTAAAAACATTCTTGAATCAACATATAAAAAAGATATAATTTTACCGGCATATCTGCATAAAAGTAGTGTTTACGATCAAATAATGATACTGTATTAAGATTACATCCTAATACTAACGCAGTTAATATGGCTGCCTCAACACATTTTTCATTAATACTCTGTAAACAAATTTTGATATGTTTTAATATACATAATAATATGCGACATTTACAATTTAAGTAACTAAAACGTACAGGAAGTGTTCCAGGAATTGCAGCATCAAACAATGCCACTTGTGAATTTACCACTGCATCAAATTTAGTACCAGCTGCACTGAACAACTTTGATTCACTTGAAATTTGAGCATGTATTTCCAATCCAACAACACTTTTCCATTTACTACAAACAATAATAAACTGTTCTAAAATATATACACAGCTATATAACCAATTAAGTTTTATTCCAAATAACTATATTGGTAGACATTATGAAATAACATTTTTTTTTTATAGAACTATATTTTTAGTAAAAATTAAATGTAAAAGATAACATAAAATTTAATATAGAATAATATAATAACATCAAATATTACTGTTTATCAAAAGTTTTCATGCTCTTATTCCTTGAAAGTTTAAGCGGATTTAATACTTGTTGAAAGGTATTTTTCATCAATAGTTTTCTGGCATGCATTTTATTATTTTAAATACAATTMTAAATTAATTATTAAATTATTTTATAAATTATAATAGCATTGTAGTTTTGTTATAAAAAATATTAAATAATTACATTTTAACTTATAAGTAATAAATAATTTAAATAATATTTTAAGTAAAAAGTGATACAAAGGGGTGAATTTAAATTTTTAATGTTATCTGTATTCAGATAATATTATCAATTTAAAGTATTGTTATCTGGTTAAAAATAACTTAAATACTTGTGGGTATAATTGAATATATTTTATAATTTTTCAAAATTATTCTTTAACACTATGACCTCAGTTCACGCTTAAGCATTAGCTATATTTTGATCGATTTCAGTTTTTTTTCGGTTATTTCTTTTACATAAATTCCATCTTTTTATAAAATTTTGTAGTTTGTATTTGTGTTGTACACAATCTGTTATCACTGATATAACGTCATTGATGTTATTGTTATTTATTGTTTTGTTTACAGAAATTGATACCTAACTTTTATTCACGAAATCAAATTACCGTAAACTGTTATAGAACTATAACATTATAAACTCTAAAGCATGTGTATTGTGTAATATTGTAATTTACAAATTACAATTAAGGTTGTATTGTTGTATATTTTTTTTTTATATAATCAGTAGTTATGTATTTCAGAGAAACCCAATTAATTTCAATAGTGGGTATTTAATTTTATTTTGCTGTAGTACTAAACAAATTGAAATCGTTCAAAATGAGTGGTGGACGTCAACGTTCTATGTTCACGGTTCACCAAAGCCAACAGTCTGAATCAGGTATACATGGTCAAACGTATTTATTAGAAACACTGACAAACTGCACGGACCCCTTAAAAGCTATCGAAGAATTCCAAGTAGATAATGGAATACATTTGCCGTCACTCCGTCAAATGTTACCTTTGCTCGATCTCCATGGCATTCGTCGGTTAGATTTTCATAACTCTATTTTGGAAGCACTCCGTGATAAATTAGTGGCACATATTGAAGAAATCGGCAAAAAAGAAGGACGAGACCGGGATCGTAAGCTCAAGGACATGTTGGCCAAGAGTTTTCCTTCAGTTCATATAAAACAACTAAGACCCATAATTATGGCTATTCTGAAAAATATATCTCATATTGACGATAAATACTTAAATGTGTTAGTTAAAGATACTGAACTTTATAAAGATACAGACACRGAAGTGAAAAGACAAATTTGGAAGGACAATCAATCGTTATTAGTTAATGAAGTGTCTCCTCTACTAACACAGTACATAAGGGAAAAAGAAAATATTCTTTTTGACCACAATAATTTGACAAATTTATTCTTTACACCATCACCAAAATTAAGACGTCAAGGAGAAGTAGTACAAAAACTTGCACATATGATAGGATCGAGTGTAAAATTATACGATATGGTTTTGCAATTTTTGAGAACATTATTCTTGCGTACTCACAATGTGCATTATTGTACACTTAGAGCTGAACTTTTGATGGCACTGCATGATCTAGAAATCCAAGATATTATATCCATTGATCCATGTCATAAGTTCACATGGTGTCTCGATGCTTGTATTCGAGAACGCAATGTTGATGTTAAACGATCCCGTGAACTTCAAGGGTTTTTAGATAGCATTAAAAGAGGACATGAAACAGTATTGGGAGATTTATCTATGACATTATGTGATCCATATGCCATTAACTTTTTAGCCACTTCAACTATTCGAATACTTCATCATTTAATTAACAATGAAAATTTACCGAGGGAAAATCATGTGTTAGTTCTGTTGTTGAGAATGTTGTCCCTTGGTTTAAGTGCTTGGGTTATGATTGATACCCAAGATTTTAAGGAGCCAAAACTTGACAGTCAAGTAGTCACTAAGTTTATGCCTGCCTTGATGTCATTAATGGTAGATGATCAAGTTAGAGCTTTAAATACTAAAATGCCTCCTGATGAAAGAGAATCTGCAATTACCATAATTGAACACTCTGGACCTGTTCCAGATGCTGTGCAAGCATATATACAAGAAAGTAGCGTTGCTTGTACGGTTGCCATGTATTATACATTACATGTTGCTAAAGCTAAAGACAGGTTAGCATTAATGAGAATATTGGGGTCTTTGGCCAATTGTGATCACGACCGTGCTTTTGAGGATCCATTCCTTCATTTTTTGGTGGCACTATTAATACAACAAGTCGAAGAATTTGCTGCTGAAGACTTTTGTACTGTTGTCTTTGATGAATTTTTTTGTACTGGACTAAGCAGAGAAAATGTAGTAAGACATGTATTAAAACTAGTGTGGCATGTTTATCCAAAGTTACCACCAAGTAGATTAAGTACATTAACTAAAGTTTTACAACCAAGTTCAACACATGATGAGGCTGTACACAAACTATACACAGACTTTGTAGAAAAAATTTCAACAGATACAGAACCTCCACCAGAACCGCCAAGTTTTGATTATTTGGAATCGCCATTGATGAGTGTACCGACACCATCACATTATTAAACAATAATCGTTTCTGTATTTTGTTGATATTATTAAATAGTTCTTATTATTGCTATAAAATAATAWAATATGACAATATTGACATAAAATAAAATAAGATATACTTGAATAATATTTTTATGATTCATTAACTTGTCCTTTATCCATAGAGTAGAACAATATATATTTATTTTTTAAGTATGTAGTTATTGTGTATAAATAATATTAAGTACAATTATTTAATAGATAGAAATTTGAAGATTTGAAATGTTTTTTTATTTTACATTTAAAAAATTATTCAAATACTAAAGTTGTTTTATTTTCCTTTGTATTTAACTGAACAAGTGAACCATTTGGAGGTCTTTCTTCATTTTTAATCCATTTAGAAAATAATCTGAAAAATAAAATAAGAAATTTAAAAAACGGAATTTTTATATTTAGTTTAAAATGTATAAATAATAATACAGTCACATAATAGAGACAACAATTTTATATTTTATACTTTTTTTTTCAATTTAATAATCTTATTTAAATTGAAAATTGAATAAAAATGCAATATTTTTAAGGAATGATAACGATAATCATATACATGTAACACCATTTCTATACAATAAGAACTATTACAGTAAAATTAATGAATAAATTGTATTAATAATTAAATGTTGTTACACTGAATGGTACTTACTCTGCAACAAATTCTAATGGAGTCCACGTTGAAGTATCAGCTTTGGGCATCCATTTACGATTCATGGGTGTGTCAAGTGTCACAGGCAATATTGAAAGAGCCTGAGCTCCTRTTGGTAAACCACCATTTTCATCAGCTAATGATTTTGTCAAATGATGTATTGCTGCTTTAGCTAAACCATAACCAATCATTCCTGGTGTGGGTCCTAAAGCAGCTTTAGCACCAGTCAATACTAAAATACCTCCAGGTTTTAAGAACTTAGATGCAATAGATGAAGCTAATACTGAGCTCCAAACACTTTGTTTTAACATCATATCAGTATTTTTTACAAAATCTATATAAGAAAATCAAATAATAAACTATATTGTAAATATTTCACGATAAAATGAAAAATGCATTATAGTTTTTACTTGCCGTCAGAGCTCGAGCTACCACCAGCCCAACCACCAGCAACACATATTACAGCATCTAATTTTTCAGATCCTAGAACGGAATCAAGCTCCTTCAAAATTTGTGATTCCTTAAAAAGTACAAACAATTTCAAAAATTAAAAAACAATTATTTATTAATTTTACTGAATTTTAATTATAATTAAAAGATAATCAGTGATAAAATGATGGATTTGTATTAGTCAATCTTTTTACTATGCTGTGTTGTATAATATGTTTTCTTTTTATTTACAGCAAATAGATATAGACAAAATGAAAATCCCCACAAAAAAAGTGTTTCCAATCAAGTGAATCAATACCGTACAGTCAGGTATAGTCATATTTTAATGCAGTTCTTTGTCAAGTATCAAGTAATTTTTTGTTGCTCCAAATCTCAGGAAATACTTGACAGGAACAAACAGTTCAATTTAGAGAACATCAACTTTCCATTTTTAAATTTTTTTATTCATGCAAAAGATATTTAAAATTAACAGTGTTTAACATATTATATATATATATATAGGTAAGTATTTTGAGGTTCTTTTACTTGTTCTAATATTGTAGCATTACGTTCCACAATCACATTAGCATTTGCACTGTCATTTCGTGTTAGATCTATAGATCCAACCCACTGAAAATTAAAAATATATACCACTTAGTAATTATGTTATTGGACTAATTTTTGAGTAAGTATTTTATACATTCACATTATCTTAAGAGCAATATTCATGTTTTAAATTTTAACAGTTTAACCATTAATAATTTATTGATAGGATTAGTACTCATATATTACCCAAATCAATGAAAAGTGTATTCAACATATTCACATTGTTATTATGTAATACATAATGACTGTTTACCTGTTTGTTTGGCTATTTCATTTAATTAAACCTTTTATAATATAAAATTAATTGCTTTTACTAAGTAATTTATATTAAGTATATTGTGAACAACTATAACAAGAAATTTTTGAAATGATAATTCTAAGTATGTAATTATTAAATTATTCATAAGTATCTTAAAGGTACTTATTATTTGAAATATTTTCCAAACTTATTAATATTAATAAATACATCAACAATTAATATACATATAGTAAGGTAATTTAGGTACCTAAAATAATCATATCTTGATTATTTATCACTTGATTTTTCAAAAACTTAAATGGTCTTGACATTTTTGCAGATACTTTTATTATATTAATTATTACATTATATATGTAAGAAATATGATATATTTTATTATTGTATTATTTTATGTTTTCAAACTTTAAATTATAAAATMAAATAATTATGTGCTATTTGAGTGTTACAATGATTATAATAAAATATATTTTTAATGCTTTTAAATAGAGATCTATTAAAATTAATATTTGAATAGGTACTTTAGTTTTCTTGTTTATCGCATAAGTCATAACAAATCACATTTCATCATTTATATTAAGTTAAGATTACATTTTTTAATCATTAATACTCAACAATTAGGTTCTTAGTAATTGATAGAGTTAAACATCTCAGTAGACTAATTTTTAAAAATATAATCATATTTAATTATAAAATGTGATTCGTGTAATATGTATTCGTTTTCATTTGACTTCTGAAATTAAATAGGTTCTATACTTTTATTATAATATTATGTATTTATGTTACAAATTTACAATGTATTTATTATTTGTTTTTTTATGAGTGAGTTTATAGTTTTCTCAAATTAGCTCTAATTCGACTGAAAAACATATGAAATAAAAAGGTTGTAAAACTACCTATTTATAAACTTTCAAATGATCGTGAAATATAATAATTGTATTATTATACATATACATGGGTGACCTCGTATTATATAACGACGATTCGTATAATTATTTTATCGCTCGAATACTTTCATTGGTGTTTGAGTATTGAGTGGCGCTATAGCAGCAATAGAATTTATAATACTATTTCTTTTCTCCCACAGATAGGTAGTAGGTACAACATATTTATTATGCTTACATATTTTTGGGACGAAAGGAAAGATATGCACGTCGATCCCAACGCTCCTTTTCCTCCATAAACCAATACTTTGCCGGCAGCCATGGCGATTTGCGGTACAGTCTTGTCGTAGGCGACAGTGTTTTATGGAACACCGAAAACGCAAGTGACCAACAAGTCCTAGACAAAACGGTGGTAGGAATGTATTAACAAAAAATAACAAGCGACGGCGAGTGAGACGATGACCGACGAACGAGTACTATTATAGAGACGTGTAAACGTCTATTGACGACTGGTAATAATAACTAACGAGTTCGTGTCTGGTGAACAGCAGCTATAGTGAGAGACTACCATCGGAATTCGTAACGCGAACGCGAATGCAGTAATCCTTGTGGTACGTGAATATCGTGATAGCTTATTATTATTATTATGACTGTAATTTGTATTAGAAAGGCAGTGGACCGTGGACCGAACGGGTAGGCAGTACACGTCTGCGCCCGCCCGGTGGCTGCGGGGCGTTAACATTTTTAAATTTGTGGTGCGCAGACCCGGTACACTAGAAAATATCACAACAATGAATATTAAAAATAATGTTATGTTATTATTTTTCGATATTATGCCTACGTAACTTTGTTGTGTACATTCGAAATACACGTACGAAGTAACATCAGTATTCAGTTGTAGAGTCTCATTACAACCAATTCAAGCATTATCTACTCATTTAGTCATTTGAGAACATAACATTATTATTTATAAATGTTTATCATGTTCACTAATGAGTGATGATATTAATCATTAATTAAATTATTAACCTAAGAAAAACAGCCACTAACCTTAGATAATTTACATTCGTAAAATGATTCGTTGGAACATTTTGCTACGAAAATTAGTGATAACACAAAGGGTACGATTTTCACGACGGCTGTTGATAGAGATTCTATCTACAGGTTACAGTCGGTGCGGTGTTCTGTTTGAGGAGGGGAGAAGGGGCGCTGTGAACTAAGTTTTAAAGTTAAAAATTTGATTTTCAAACGTTCCCAATGTTCCCATACTACTTTTCCCTGAAACAACGCAAGGTCACGCATTATTAATTATTTAATATTTTAAAAATATTGCGAAAGTATTTTGTATCATGTCCTAATATAATAATATCATCAAGTATTTTCATAGTGTTCTGAACATTTAAGAATGTTTTGAAAACATGTTCACATTTTTTTTTTAGCAAGAGATTAACATTTGAACATAATATGTTCAAAAATCTAAAATGAAAAAATAAAGCACAAAATATCAATTTTAAGTTAGGTACTTTAATATGCAAATGCTTGGAAATAACTTAATAATTAACTGGTTAATTATACCTATAAATAACGTATATAAACTATAAAGTACGATAGATAATTACTGATTTCACCAAAATGTTGAGTATAAGAATTTTAAATTTTTGCTAAAATTGAACTCAAAAATATGATTTTTTGAAAAATTGAGCATTTTGAAGTTTATTGATYTTAAGTTCTAGATAAAGTTTAAGCGGATTTTTTTGAAAGTACCAATGCAAAAACCCACATTAAAAAAAATATCACTTGGAAACAAAACTAAAATTATTCCGGATATACCGTTGACCACCCGCCGCAACGTTCTACCGGCGACTGTTCGCTATCGACGCTATCCGAGTCCCACGAAATACGTTTATTTATCCGGAATATTAATGAATAAATACGCTGTTCAATATGTTGACGGAGTCTGARACAGCGCGAAAACATTATTACATTGGTGAATAATTGAGGTTAAAATAGAACATATTTTGTGGCTCGACGTCTACTTCAAATCAAATATACCATTTTGTTACACAATGACATGATGATAATATTTATTGAGATGAAAAATATGAGATATTTTATACCTCTATCTCCCATTACGCTAATTGAATTTTGAACTTTTTGTTTGTGCCCTCCCCATAAGACGTTTCTAAATACGCCCCTGATTATGTACCTGATCTATCACCAGCACCGGCCAGTGTGGCAGTGTGTCATCAGTTTCCGGATGGGCSATCATTCGCATTTAGTGGAAAATCCTATTGTCATGCATACAACGTGTTTGAACCAATCATAAGATTACGGCACAGATGCGGTCGGCACAGTAAGTTGCGGTCAATACCTTTTTGGTGGCACTTGCGGTCACTATTTTTTTTTTACATATTTGAACTGGTTTTTACAATAAAGTTAAAGTTAAACTATATTAACTTTCCTTCGCACTTTTACAGGCTTAGAACTGGCAATAAATATTATTTAATATTTACTATATTTATATTATTTAATATTTACTGGCGTGCTTAAAAGTTGTTTTTTTATATATATTTATTGTAAACTATTCTGATATAAATATAAAATATATAATTATTAGACATGTCAGTTAATTGATTGCCTATTAATCAAGTTTTTGTATGAAAGAATAATTTTTGTATTAATTTTGCTCTTTGTTTTTATAATATTATTTAGTAACCAGGTACGTTAACAAATAAAATGAAGTAAAAGAATACAACTAATAGAATGTTTGAACTTTCAAAGTGAAGATAACGTTGAGTTAAAAGTATAAGTGTTATATATTATTATAAATTAGGATTTAATTTCTTTAAAATATGGTCGTGGTAACTGAGCGAGTTAATGTTAAATACATTTTTAGTTGGAACGCTGTTTTTTAAATTTAAATTTGAATTCTCTTTCTTTCAAGTTTAAATTTTCCAATTCGTAAACTATAACTCTACAGTAGATGAAAAATCGACAAAAACCAGAATCGATATATGTATATATATACGTATATCTTTTCTAGGTGAATCGTCATAAACCAGTAATTCTTTTTATTTTCGAAATAGAACTTTCAGCCTTATTATGTTATTATTATAGTTATTATACACTGAAGTTAGACTCTTCCAATATTTTTTCAGTTACGGATTTGCCAACTCTATATAAACATAGACCATTTGAATTCATATCCTCGACTTAAACAAAAAGTACGGTAATAACATATAGTTGAAACAATTCTTAAGTTTTACATATAGGTATACTGTTGGATATATTGAACAATGGACATAGATACATATTTTTTTAATAAGAACGTAGTTTTAATAAAATTTGTTTTATCAAATGTCCAAGTGTATACTTACTTACTGAACGTTTTCTAGTATTTTATACAAATTCTAAGTAATAATGGCTAATAGGTAGACAAATTAGAGCTTTGCATGTGCTGGTATAGAATGAACTTTGTTTTTAGGACTTAATTACATTTTTATCAAAATAATAACAATACGCACTACCTATAGGTAATTATGCTATTCATCATTATCGTGGTATAAGACATTATAAATTCCTTTTACTTAGTACTTACACAGGGCAGTAGGTTATAATAATATACGACCTATATATACCTCTTAAAATATCCCGTGCCTCAAAATGGAAAATAGGTGTATGATTCCACTTACATATTATTATCATTCTCAAAGTCAGTGCCTATTTAAAATTCGGAAACGCTATTACTGAACAGGTAGAAATTGTATAGAAATCATCGTTGATGCTTTTGTAGATATATAACTGAATACTTAAATATAGTTACTAACCAGTAATTTAAATTGGAAGTTGGGTGGCTTCTGATTAATATATATTAATTATATTATACACTAGTACACTACCTATCTATGTTTATAATATATCAAGATGATTATTATCTTATATATATGTATATTATATTTATATCCTGTCGTTGCATAGACATATTATTCTTAAATCTTAATATATCTATGTATCGATGGTGCTAGCAAAATTTTGTTACAGATGTGGTGGATTTTACTTTCTATAAAATTTCGAATTAAGACAATATATTTGTGATTAGTTTAATATTATGATAAATAGATATATTATTTGAATTCATTGTCTTTAGGTTTTCGACTCTTTTCAATAACTATTGCCTATCTCAACATTTTGATGGAAGAGAACTGAGAAGTAGAGAAGTAACTCTAACCGAGCCCAAAAGTCTCTTTGGACAACACATAGGTACTACTACTACATAATGTATATTATATACACAACTGTAGCTTGTTGTAGCCTTGTAAGTTGTTGGTGTACAACTGTTCTGTGGTAATAGGTTTATCGTAAATAGGTATATACTATATATTTCTGTAGTTTAACATAAAATATAATTTTAAAAAAAGTAAAATAATAATTTCAATCTAGATAGATATATAAATTTGTGTGCGATATCTAGAAATTCGCCATATTAAACCGGTGTAAAAAAATACACAGGGATATTTTTAGACCATATTGTTTACATATAGTTCATTATCCTGGTGAGGGATAATGTGGGGTAATCTTAAATCAGTTTATCCTAACAAATTTCTAGGTAGTTTGGTCACGAACTCACGAAGAATTATAGGGGTTGAAAAAAAAAGCTTAAAACATCCCCTGGGTCTCAAAAAATTGACTTTTTATTGAAATTGGTTCAGTATAGTGTATGAGATTAGTCTGATTAGACTGTTTAAATATACAAACTCTTCATCTTTATAATATTAGAAGATCGTAATATTATATTCAAGTTTATAATATCGGTAGATACGTCACTTATTCCAAATATTTACACACATGTTGTTTAGGATTTATGTCGTTATGAGTGCTAAAGATATATATATATATTATTGTCTATAGATAACTGAAGTAAAAACGATATTATCATAAACTTTATGATAATGTATTAAGTATAAACATAAACTTGTTAGATATTTTTTGTTCTATTCTAGAAATTAATAAATGTTCTTATTATTAATACCTTTTAACTATTAAATTATTATTAATCCATTATTAAGTACCTACCCACCATTTTGTTCAATAGATTTAGACTGAAAAAACTTTATAGTTTTCATAATATATTATTTTGTTCCAAGTGATATTTTGTTATATTTGTAAATATTGTTWTAAACTTTTTCATAAATTTAATCTAATGTGCAATTAAGTTTTTTAATTGATTTATCTGATGAATATTTATACAGGTAAATGGTTATGAAATTATAAAAAAATTATTTTGATCATGTTTTATATTTTTATAACTATTTGTTTCTGTTAAAAGACAATATTTTATGAATTTTCAATAGTTTAATGTAAAATTTTATAAATACTATCAATATATATATTTTACATAAATATTATCATTATTACTAGGCAAGAATAGTATTTAAGTTTTGGGGTACTGAAGTCCATACCAAACTACCAGATTCTTTTGAAACCTTTCTGGTATTATAAGATCCTTATTTTTTTTTTTTATAAATGTATAAAATCTTCCATTTTCTGGAAGGGCTTATTTTCTCCTGATATTTGTAACTGCGCATTTATTACAACTATCTGTTGTATTTATTATTTTACATCTCAAACATGAGAATTTCAAATATTTATAGTAAACCTATTTTTAAAAATAAGATAATATATAAAATGTATAAATACAAATTTTTAATGTAAATGGCTTACTTGGATGTTTAATCAAATTTTTGTTTTTCTAAAAAAGTATCAAGTAACTTAAAAAATATATAAGAATGGTTGTAAATGAGATAAAGCTATTTTACAATACTATTTATGTTTTATGATAAACATAGCAATATAGAAGCTGCTAATAAAAATACAATTTTCATGTGGGAGTGAGATTGTGAATTCCATTATTTTTCTTTTTATCAATGTTCATGAAATGTTTATATAGCTTATAAATGTTTTAATCTTAAGTTAAGCCTCATTAGATTTTTAACATGGAATTTTTGTACTTATGTTTACATACAGGTACTGAAGTATATATTTAAAATGTAGTATTGACTGACATATTTTCATTTATGCCTGAACTTTTTGTATAAAGTTCTCTATTACTAATACTAAATTTAAACTTTAAAATACAGTGGAACCTTGTAATTGAAATTGCCCCAAATGGTCAAACCCACAAAAAAAATAAAAGAGTTTTCAAAAATTTGAGTTATATAAAAAATTGAATTTATGCACATAAGTTGGGAGTCCAAGAAATTCCTTCCAGTTATAAAAAATTTGACTTATAGGTGTTTAAGTTATTGAGGTTACACTGTACTTTGTAAATGAACACTTAATTTCTATTAAATATTAATTCAATTTTCTAAACAATTCAATTTATTTATTTTCAGATTATTCTCAAAAATGCCCAGATTGCCACAAATGTTTTTATTCTGCTACTTCATTATTAATACATTTTTTTACTCACGTTGGTGAAGAAAAATTGGTTGATGCCGATAACAATGAAAGTAGTTCAGCTTCTAAAAAAAAACTTGTAGAAACTAGCAATCATGGATCTTCTAAGCCATTAAATTTAACAGTGAGTGAAACTCTTAATCCTTGGAAATATTGTTTAGCCACATATGAAGAAAATAATGATAATCCAGTTAACCCACCAAAAAAAGTAACTAAAAAAAATAAAGAAAAAGACAAGACTTTTGAATGTAGTTTATGCAGTAAAAAATTTGGTTGGACAACTGATCTTAAAAGACATTTACTCATTCACACAGGTATTAATTTTATGTTACTTAGTGTAGTTATTTATTTCAAATGTTGCTAGAAAATTAGTTTGTGAAAAATAATCGTGTTGAAGATTTATATTTTCATTTAAAAAATAAAGATAAATTTTGTTACTAATTGTTTTAATTAAATGTATTATGATTTGTATATTTAAAGGAGAAAGGCCCTTTAAATGTAATTCATGCCAAGCAGCATTTACAAGAAATTTTTTACTCCAAAAACATTTTGCTCGARMTCATAAAAATGTATCGGAAGATGAATCAAAAAAGTTAGAGAATCATGTACACGCCAATGTTACTGAAATAAAATTAAAAATGAAGGAACTTGAGTGCCAAAGGGAGCATAGTAAGTCTATGTCAGATAATGACAGTCAATAAATTTATATTATTTAATTTAAAATAATCCATTTACTGTTAATAATAATTGTTACACAAGGAATTTAAAATTTGTACAAATTATAAATTTGAGTAATATTTTTATTTTATTTATATCTTCATATTTCTGTGGTTGTGGTATAAATTAAACTTTTTTCTTATGAAATGGGACAGTACCATTATTGTATGTGTCTTAAAAAAAAGTATATAGGTAGTTTTAAAATGAAAAATCACCAACCTATCTTGAATTCAAGTACATAATATTAAAACTAGTAATGCCTAATATTATATCAATAGTAATTTTTTAATGTTTTCAATATGATGATTGATTGAATAGATATTATTTTTAATGAACTGTCTAAACCAGATTAAATAATTAAATATTTAGGGCTTGTAACTGTTAAAAACCTAGTCCAATTTCAGATATTTCATTACATAGAAATTTAATATAGACTATATTATCTAAACTAGGAACCCTATTTTACTTGTATAAGAAAGTAGGAACATTTTCTTCAAAATAGTATTTTAGTATTTATAGTTAAAAATAATAACTAAAGCTCTGATTTATATACAAAATAATATTGAAAAATTATTTTTCAAAAAACTCAAAAACTGTGCGCTGTCAAAATAATATTATAGTACAATAAAAACACATAGAGATGAACGAAAATTTATTCAATTGATTATCGGTTAATAGGCTTGTAAAATATTAAGATAAGTTTGCAAATCGCTTATTTAATAACCAGATTACCTAATAAAATGCAAATGTATTAAAATCTGATCTCTAACAATAACTTTCCTATGTATTTTAAAGTATATTTTATAATTTTATTTTCTATACTCTAAAATGTATAACTCAGTGGTTCTCAATCTTTTTAATATCATGACTCAAATTTCCCCACCCCCACCCACAAATAATAAAAATCTTTTGCAACCCACGTGGTTTCACTTTWCTAAATGTAGGTATAATTTCTTGGAATCTATATAAATCAAAAAACTTCTCACGGCCTACAGTTAGAGAAACGCTAGTGTAACTTATAAGAATGAATTATTTTTAGATTTATATACATAATTAATTTATGTATACCAATTATAATATTATATATATACATTCACCTAACCTAACTTATGTGTACAATTTATAGTTATTATATTCTTTGCCGTTAAAAATATTAACTTATTTTTTATATACCCGTTAAGTATACCCCATACTGGTTATAGCAGAGCAGCAGTTCTCAACCATAGGGTCGCCAATAATGTAAAGTTGAGAACCGCTGAGGTAGAGGGTTAAGTGTTTAAACACCTGCATTTTTTTTCTTTCTCTGTAACTCTTGAAGAGAATTCTTATAGATCAGAGCTTGGTGAACTTTGGGTCTTAAAAAAATTTTACTCTTCTCAGTCCCACTTAAAAATTAACCCAGTAATGGTCTTGTATATCTGATAAAATAATTGAATTACAAATAATTTATATACAGTAATATTGTAATAGTTAAATATATACGTTTTATAGTAGATTTCTAGAATCTATTTATATGACATAATACTATATAAGGTACAAAAAGTTACTGTATATTAATATTACTATATTATTAATAATTATAGGTATCTTACGTACAGAGACATGTCATTAAGATTTGGCACCCAGGGCAAAATTAAAAATATTTGCCCTTTTAAAGTTTAAAATATTATAAAAAAAATGTTTGACGCCCCTTTAAACCATACGCCTCGGGCGTTTTCCYCCTAGCCCCCCACGGCATGCCTCTGCTTATGTATACGTATATATAAGTATACCAATAATTATATAAAAAAATGTATAGTTATTATTACCTAGGTACTATTATTATTATTTATTAAAACTTATGTTGATGTACCTAAGTATTCTCAGTTMACAAATTAATTATTTGAATATTGTATAAAAATACATTTTGTGATTAGTAAATACTCGATAGACATCCCTATTATAATGCAGTGGCGGCATGAATAACTATTTATTAAARCTTTTATTTCACGTGAAAGTGGTGATGGGTATCTTAATAATAGACATGTTTATAATTGATGTACTTTTATGAATTTGGGTTGGCCATCCATATAAATACAAAAACAATTGTTGGGTAGATTGTGGGTACTTATTTTAAATAGTCTCTTCATAAAAAAAATTCATGACGCAACTGCTCTCGTGCTTAAGTTGGAGGGGAAAGTATGTGTTGAAGCTTCTTTTCTTTTAAAAAAATTTGCACACTTAAATTTCCTTAAGTAAAAGTCATTAAATAATTAGAAACACAAATTAATAAATTCAAACATTGTAACTATATTTTCACCAATTCAAGCACTAAAGATGGTAGATTTCTACTGATAATTGTAAAATATCAGTTGGTAAATTGTTAGTCGATAGTTACTTATGTACTCGTAATACCATAATGGAGAGGAAATGAGAGTTATTAAGGGACAGTTTTTCATGTACTTTTCTTTAGTTATTTTAAACTATTGTACAATATTTTATATTAATTTAATTTTTTTTTTATGCTAGGTAAAAAAAATGTATTTTTTATTTCAAGTACCTATTTTATAATTATTACTAGTCATATCTAGTCTTAGTTTTTAATATTAATTACCACATATTATTAAGTATACTGTATGACAATAAAATGCAAATGACAATAATTTTTGTTTGTAACTCAATAATAAACAATGACAATAATTTGTTTGTAACTTACATAAATAAAGACTTTATTAAAAACATATATGATAAATAATTATTTATAATACAATTCTTGTTGCTCAACAAGAAAACATACTAAAATTGCATTTTATATAGGTAATGATTTTAGGTACATTTAGTATTTGGCATTTGAGCGAAAGGTGGAATACTTACCTTATTAACAAATTATTAAAACTACTATAATAAATAATACACTGTAGTATTGTGTTTTATAGGAATTATTTTTATTACATATTAACTTCCCATAGTTTTAAATTATTATCCATTACTTCGTGGAACCAAGCTCGTTTTTGAATGTCCTTAAAAGCCGGCGCCAAGGTTTTTAAGTCGAGCTTGAGTAATGCTTCATTGCCTAACATTCCATTCAGTTCGCTTAACAGTTTCGTGTCTCCGTGCAATTTCAGCAAGGAGGCAAACCCAAAGACAAAAAATTTCACTCTTAGTCTTTGGTGCGCCCAATTTTCAACAGTTGCATTACCACTAGCTGATTGTATTTTACCCACATGCTCTGCATACCACGGTGAGAAGTATCCAATCAACTCTTGATTAGAGATCTGTGACACACCTTTTGTTTTTAAACGTTCTTTGATTACTTTGTAAGCATTTGGAGCGTATACATACACCTAAATGGTCAATACAAATTAAATATTAAGTACCATAGGTATTATATAGATATAAGTGAATTATTTGAAAATTCTAAAAGTGGAGGAAGAGGAATCACAAACAAATTAAACCACATGGGTACTCATAAATATCCCCATAATATGAGGTTAGTTTCGTGTATAATAATTGTAGTATAATTTGTTTACATATTAAGTTAAATGCAAATATATAATAATATGAAACACTTAAGGGATATTGTTCCTCCCCTGAGCCTGTAAATATACCTTTAATATGTAGGTAGCATTTAAATTTATTTTTTATATTTCGTACTTTATAATATATATTCCTATTAAGTCAGTTAGTGTAGAATAAAATRTTTTTACTACCTACTTAGATTACTAAGTATAAATTACAATAACATAATTATTTTCATAAAACACACGATATAAAACTTATCATGTCTTGAATGATTAAAATTTAAAATTTAAATTATTAGAATATTTCATATTATTTATGATATTTCTTGGTAGAAGCTCATGTGTTTTGAATAGAATTATTAAAAACAATTTTWAAAAAAAGTTTAAACTTCAAAATATTCTAGAGCAGTAATCAGCAAACTTTTTTGAAATTTTGATTGTATTATGTTAAATCATCGACATTTATTTGATCGGAAATGGAAAAAGAATCGYGTAAAATAACATGCAATATCTCTCCAGTGTTCAGATAACTAAATCGAATCTGATTGCTAGTAGGTAATTGGTGCCTTTATTTTCTGCAGATATAATAATAAGCTTTCTTGAGCAATAGTTTTACGACCAATGTATAGTGTCGTACTATCGCGTGTCATTATATCGTAATAAACTATATAGCTATGTTAGGACTTTAATTGCCAATGGATTAACTGCAGTAAGTACGTAAAACAATGGGCACTTGCCTGATAGAGAGAATTGCCCGTGACATATGACGTCACGTAATGAGATCCAAAACTCCTGACGAATTCAATGACCGACAAACTATCGCCGACATTAACAGAGGCCACCTGTTTGGCCACTGGCTCGTGAAGGTCGGTGCTCTCCATATCCATTTCTAAATCGGCAGTCTCCCTATGCCTAGCCACCCTGACGAGAACATAACAATGATCGCCGGTTACATAAGACACGTCTAAACCTGCATTGAAATATTATATATAACGATGGTTAGTATAGGTAAATAATTAATAATAATACATGAAGGTAGTGCATTGTTTCGAAATAAACCAGATCAATTAAGTTTTTGGAACCTATTCRTGCACGACCAAAAACGTATAAGCATTATATCACATTATACACCATTTAGGACGGTCTTAATAGGACTTAAATGTATGTAATTGCAGTAATATACCTACATTTTAGGTGATAGGTTAACGTTTTCGACTTATCTATGCAATTCTATGGCATATGTGATATGAGCAATAATATAAATGTGTACCTATTATTTAACAAACCTAAATTTCTGGCCAACGTGAATTTCGACCAACTTCCCGTAAACGCCTGCCACGGCTTGTCCAGCCTCTCTACGGAAAAATCTCTGAAGTAAGCTTGTAATAATTGTTTTACGTTATCACAAAATTCCATGTGGAAGTCCCCTTGGAAGACTTGACCTCCACCACTTCCAATGCTTCTTTTGAGGCTAATAAACATACATTTTTTTTCTTTTAGATTTGGATACAATTAGATTTTTAATATCATGTATTCGCATGGTATATATATATGCGCAATTACAGTATTTATTCCATACCTATTTAATATTTACCTACCTTTGTTTTTCMGGCAGATTCGTAAACACGTCGACTGTGGGTTCTCTGAATATCCACGAATGATCGGTGTCATTTCTGGGGACTACTCTCATACTTATGCTAAAGTATCCATAACGATTGAACACGTTTATCGCGTTGCCCACTTTGATGTCCGCTTGAGCCTTTTGTTGAAACCTCAATGCGTAAAGAATAAAAACCATTAACGCCTTGGCCCCATCGAGGCCCATCGCTTGACCTGTAAAATGACAATACACATTATATTAAATTTGTATAATCATTGTTGCGACATAAAGGTTTGCGATGGTATCATGCTGCRTGCAACGGACAAAAGTAATTTTTTGTTTTATTTTGATTGCATTTTTAATATTAAACACCGGTACGCGAATATAATATAAGGATAAGTACACGTACATATTTTGAGCGAGCTGTACTATAAATATCGTTTTTCAACACTCAAATKATTAAATTGTCATAATCGTATAGGATAACAAAATATTGATAATTTTAGATTATAAAAAACTATACTATTTTGGAAGTTCTGGAGAATAAAATAAAATGTAGCCTGGCGATAAGTTGTCCTCTTTTTACAATGGTATGCCACCAAAATTATGGAATGAACTTGATGTTTATAAATCAATATAATAGATTTTATATAATATACACAGGTATAATTCGATATCAATAATAGGCAAGAATTATGTTATTATACACTAATAATAAAAACGGTCCTGTTATTATATTTATTACAAATGTATATTTTATAATCTGTAAAAGTATACTGTTTTATGTTCTGTTCGTAGTAAGCTCGAACGTGATTCAAACTGTATTATTTATTAATGTTTCATTGTTTGTATATTTAAGTGTCGATAGTTAATATATGACCTAAGTAATGGATATATATAATAACATACATTATTACATAGGTACTATACGTGTCTATCTAAATATGTACGTACTCTGCTAGTATCTAACACGCCATCATGTACCTACATCGGCTACATTCAAAACTAGGTATGTACATAATCTGGCACCAAAATAACATAATAAATAATAATAATGTAAATGTAAATGTATACAGAATTACATACACAACGAAAAACGATAAACAATATACACAACACACACGTATATATGAGACATGCATGATTAAACACAGATAATACTACCTAGACCAACTATTTTCTATAACAACAAGTATGTACCTAATACTATATATATATAGTAGTACATATTTTAATTATACATTATATTTATTCACCTCTATACCGATTACCGATGTTGATCTCCAAAAAAAAAAAACAATATAAGTACCTGCTATATTATGGTTTGTTTAATAATGCAGGTACATTTTAATATATATTAAGTATAGGTAATGTAAATTTGTATTTGTGTTCTGTGATGAATTAACTTATGTTACGATTATTATTATTATTATCGTTAATATTAAAATTACAATGAATGAATGTATTTATTGATGTGTATATGATTATTGATTATCATTAGTTGAACCATAATTTACAAAAATTAATAAAATATATAAATGATAATAACTATAAAAATCCAAAACTGGAAAGTTAGGCATTTTGTTACTATTTGCAACCGCTTTGATGCTTTCACATTTATTATTATTATTGCGTCATTGCGTGTCTAATCTCATCARAATTGAAAAACTTATTTGGATAGATTTACGACTTTATGAACAATAACGGCTAGTCACTATAGTGATAATATTTGATGAGAGGGAAAGAAGATGAGTGAATATCTTGAGTAAAAAACAAGGGTATTTTATATGACAAGATTTTACAATTGCACATACCTAAACTAAAAAATTGTCTAGATTTTGTTAAAAACTAGTCGAACTGTTGCGTCACACATACAGTTTAACATTACCATTTTATTACTTCCCATAAAGAAAATCAATGCATATATACAACATTATTATAGTATACTCATTCCGTTGCGTATATTATAGGTATCATTTAAAAAAATATAATATCATACAAAAAAAAGTTGTTATAAATAGATAGTCACACCATTCGCCAGACTATAAAAAAAAAAATGTCGGGGAATAAACTTTAGCCTTAGTTAGGGCTTTAAATAAATATTCATTTTATTGTAATATAGGTATAACTAAATTTAAGCACGAAGTAAGTGTATGATCTATGTAACATAATCTTATTATATGATACGTGCTAATATAAATTATGCCGATGGATATAATAACAATATGTATAAATCATTATCACGGATTTCTTTTATAAATAATATTATATACTTAAAACTATATTTATTTAAAGAATAGGTATAAGAGTGATGATATTTTGATCACCCCTTATTGATTTTTTTTCTAATTGGTCTTATACGTCGATGTGTATAATGTACCTATATATGTCTACACAAAATTATAATAATCACATGGAATATTCAACAAAATATAGGAATTGAAATAGTTTTAAATGCAATATATATAATGGGTGTCATAGCGAAAGATCCGAAAAAAAATTATGCTTATTAAACGTATGACAAAA